AATTGTCTCTCTGCGTCTCGATCATTCCTTCTATCATGACGTTGTCGATCATGATTCCTCTCTTCTCCATTCACGCTTGTTTCATCATGTTGGTTAGCTGCTTCTAAGTCTGCAAGGCGACGTTCCACGAGTCTGGATCTAGTGTCTGAATCTGCCACTTGCTTTGATAAGTTTTCCATCATCTGAATAAGACGTTCAAAGTTCGTCTCTGGCTCATCTGTCTTTCCAGGCTTAGTCGGAGCCATCACTTGACACACGGTGTGAAGAACAAGAAATACTCAAAAAGTTTGACCCCAAGGAAAACGAAAACCAGGTTCTGATGCCAAATTTGATGTAGGATATGGGTGAGTTGAGTATTTGGGTAATTTAGCGGAAGCGAAAACAATGGAGAAACAGAAACTAGGTGGTAAAAGATGCCTTGGCTTCACACCAAAAGAGTTTGGCTTCACACCAAGGAGTCTCCAATCTCTGGAAAATAAACTTTTCTTAATATCTCAAATCTCAATTTTAAGAACTACATAGGGAGTATTTATAGCAAACTAAACCTAGAGACAAAAGGATAAAAATCCCTTACTAAAAAGGAATCCTAATCCACAAAGGAACCAATCCAAACAAGCTAGGAAACTTAAATCAAATCCTACTAAAAACTGGAAACTAAAACTTAATAAAATCTGGAAAATCTAGAAATCCTAGTGAAATCTGGAATCTGGAAAAAAAAATAGTTTTCCTATTGAAATCTGGAAACTCAGATTTCACCCCAACCATAATGATAATGTTGGCTTGGCTGATCGTTTCTTCCTTCTTTGGTAAACCTTAAAAGGTTTGTCACTGATGTCCGCATCAAAAAGACTTATATGATTTTTGGCCACATTTTTTTTGGAAAATAATATATTTCCCCCCTTTTTTTTTGTTGTGGTAAAGGAAACTATATAGACACCATGGATGATATGCAAGTTCCACATAATATTAAAGCTTGTTAAATTTGCCTTTTTGGTGCTCATCTTTTTCCTTGTGACATTCTTTCCCTTCAATGTTTCATGCCATCTGTATTGATGTCTGAATTTATGTGTTCACCCACTAAAAATTTGTTGTAGCTATATTTACAGGATGCAAAAGAAACTGAGAAAATTCAAGAGGGTGAAGCAACAAAAACAGTTGAGAAAGTTTTGGTTGACTCATCAAACTTGGCTGATTTTGTTGGCAAACCTGTGTTCCATGCTGAACGCATCTATGATCAGACTCCAATTGGAGTTGTTATGGGTCTTGCTTGGACTGCCATGGGTGGCTCCACCTTGTATATAGAAACCACTCAGATTGAGGAAGCAGAGGGGAAAGGAGCCCTTCATGTCACTGGTCAACTTGGAGATGTTATGAAAGAAAGTGCCCAAATTGCTCACACTGTTGCCAGAGCAATATTGCTCGATAAAGATCCAGATAACCACACTTTCTTTGCCAATTCCAAGCTTCATCTCCACGTTCCTGCAGGGGCCACGCCAAAGGATGGGCCTAGTGCTGGTTGCACCATGATCACATCCATGTTGTCTGTTGCTATGAAGAAGCCTATCAAGAGGGATTTAGCAATGACAGGGGAAGTAACACTAACTGGGAGGATCCTTCCAATTGGTGGGGTATGTTAAATGACTCTCTCTCTCTCTGTGTGTATATATATGTATGTAGGTATGTATGTATTTGTATGTATATGGATACATATAGTAACAGACTGTATTACAAAGTCTTGTCCAACAAACTAAAAATCAGAGGTGGCCAATGAAGTATTGATTTGATGGCATATGCCAGGCTATATATTTCCAGGGTATGTTCTCTTGCAAGGCAGTCTAACAACGTGAAGTGCATATGTTGTCAGACTGTCATCTAGGCCACACATTCAAGCAAAATTGACGTAAATGCTCTGGAAACCTAAGCATCTTATGTAGCCAGTGTCTGGCAAGAGGATGTTTCCATGTATTGCTAATATAAGTGTTATATATATCTTATGACTTAAATTACGCGATTTACTTTTATTTTCTATATTTGGGAAACTTCAGTACATCTGATGTTATGCTTCAGGGTGTACTTTTGGTTTCCTTACAATGAATTTCAAGCTCCATGTTTGCGTATTTTTGGTGTTTGTGATTTTGACTTCATGAAAGCTTTGTAAAAATGATTTCCAATTGACACGCATGGTCCTGTAGGTTTCGATTGATGCCTGGTTTCTATTTCTATATCTCGTTATCTTTGTGTTTGAGTACATCGTGTTGCATCTCAAACTTATAAAAATTACATTTTTGTCAACAATATAGGTTAAGGAGAAAACGATAGCAGCAAGGAGGAGCGATGTGAAGACCATCATATTCCCTTTAGCTAACAAAAGGGATTTCGATGAGCTTGCCCCCAATGTAAAAGAAGGTCTTGACGTTCATTTTGTAGATGACTACAATCAGATATTTGATTTGGCTTTCAGCGATGGTCAAAATGAGAAAAAATGAGCCATTCTTCCTCACTAATTCTCAATAGAACTTCAATTTTCTGCAAAAGCGGGTGGGAGTTTGCTGTGACGCCCAAATCAAGACCATGTCCATTTTCGACAGGACGGACCTAGGTAAAATTAGAAGAATTGTGATAGTTCAGTTGGTGGGGGAACGATGTACATTTTCTTTATTTATTCACTTATATTTTTCCATTATTCTTGTAAAATTGAAGCACCCATTGGCCCCATTTTGTAACCCGCAGACCGTTATTCTTTCACAGGTTGGTGGTCTGAGTCTGATAGAAATGAGATAATACGAGTTTCAGAAATTAGTCTGTTTATTTAATAGATCTGGAATTAAGCCTTTCATTCCCCTCTTGGGGCTAGCTGGATATGAATGATTCAGACTTGTGGTTGCCATGTATGTGTGCGTTTACCATCTCAGGTGTTGGTTGCCATGTCTCTGTGTTTATCATGGAGAAATGGGAACGGAAGGGAAATGGAAATAAAAATGAGAACGGGAAAGATACATAAGTGTGATTGTGAGATTTGGGTCATCGGACCAAAAAGAAAAAAGAAAAAATAATTTTTTTTGGAGATTTGGGTCGTAGTTTTTGGGGGCACTTAAGGCTTAAGCTAACCCCCAGACTACTTTTGGTAATCAAATCAATATGTACTTCAACCATTAGGCATGCAATGCATTGATTATAGATTGAATCATGTGCAGGTAAAACGAGTGAATGTATTATCACGTGCATGGAAAATGAGTGAATTTATTTGTCATTCTTCTCTCATGACCATTTTGATTGGCATGAAAATATTCGTTTTCAATGGCAAATCGCAAAGTATGGGTGTGGTTCGTGATAATTAAGAATGAGTTCTCTTGACAGGTCATGTGTTTAATATTTGAGGGGTAGAAAAATGGGATGTTGGAGAAAACCAAATTGAATAGCAAGTGATTAATACGTTTGTTTTTGACTGGGTGCAAATATGATGTGTCCAAGAAGAGTACTTGCTAGCTATGAAGATTCTCAAGTTCACGGCTAAAGGAAATACATTGGATAATTTAAGGCAACTTTTACGGTTGGATTCACCACAAAAGTATTGTATACGGCTTGTTTGGCCAAGTTTACCATCTATTTGGGCTATCGCCGATAATTTGGTTTTTTTGGACTGGGGATATTTTGGCAAATTCTGGGCCTTTACCAACTGAGCTATATGTCAATTTGTTATATTCTTCCTTTCTGGTTGTATTTAATATTTATACACACATATTTGACATTTGCTTATACACGCATACTTGACATGACAGCAATTCTTTACTCTCCACCTGCGTTACAGTAATGCCCTTGCTTTTTTGATTTAAAGAGAAAAACATATGGACTTAATTACTCGATCAAAGAAATTATCATATATTTTTTTTATAAATAAATTTATTACTCTACATATGTGTTATTCTTAACCTACATAATAGTATATAAACCCCTTTTGTTACTTGCATATTATTTATTTTTTAAGTTATTGCATTTGTTAGCTCGCACTATACTCAACTTAAATCATAAAACCATCATACAACGTATTTTCTTCAATTTTTGTGTGTCAAAACAATAAAAAATTGACTAAATGAACATCTTATAAAGTTTTATTGAAAATTTCTCTGTTTTTCTAACAATTTCCATCGTTTTTATTCAATTTTTACCGATATCGACATTTTGTAAGTATTTTCATCGATATTTCTAACAAGAACAATTTCGACATGTACTGATTGCAATCATCAAGTAATTCAGCTAAAATATCTTTTACTGCAATTATTTTTGGATCATGGCTGGAGTTGATACATCTGCCAAACATATCTTCATCCTAAATAACACGTTACACACATCGAAACACAGCCAAGATAGAATAAAGTCCAAACAGAATGGTTCATCCAATGCACGAAATACGTGGTAGTTCAACTATTACTTTAATACCAATTATCTCTTAGACCAGTTACTGTACCAAATTAGGTACAGTAATATAGTTTTGGCTGTGTCAAACCCCATTTTGTCAAAGTGAATAACAAAAGGAACTGAAACATTGTCGCTATATCATCCACAATTTGAAGTACCAATGTTCAAATGCTTTGAAACGAGATTAAAAGAAAACAAAGCTCCTTTCCTTCCGGGGAAATTAAACAGAATCTCAACGAGGGGATGTGTTAATCCAAAATTAAAGCCAGTTCCCCCTCTAAGGCTGGATCCTGTTGGCTCAGGGATTACAATGAATGGTTTGCATATAATCAACTCGAAATAATCCACATTGCAGCAATCACAAAATCCTAAGCTTAACCTTTACCTTTCAAACACCCTGAGTTTCCCCTAAAATCCAAGTGTAACCCAGATATACATTTGGGACATCAGAACCTTCTTATTTTCAATTTACGATCTGGGATTTGTGTATATTCCTATTTCTAAGAGGCTACACTTGAATCACGATTTTCCTTCTCTAAACATCGGTGTATCATAATCTATCTTGAATGGAATGCAGCTGATATCTATTGTTTGTCCCAATTAGGTATGTTAGCAGTAGCTTCATTCACCATCTTTACAAGGGTGACCTGCAGACAAAATGAGCATGAGAGAGAGAGAGAGAGAGAGAGAGAGAGAGAGAGAGATTTAAAAATACTCATAAAACATGTCATATACTATGAAAACTTCAATCCAAAAAATCGGTTAAAAAATGGTTGCCAACGGTTTACAGTTCACTAGTACACTACACCTCCACATTTCTAAACATTTCTCCCACAAAAGGAATCCAAATTTGTAAGTGAGGAAATTACAAGTATTTTGTAAGTCAGTCAGTCAGTCAGTCCAGAAAGTTAACTGGTTGCAGAAAAAATCTTAAAGCTATTCCCAGCACCAACACAAGCCACGACGTGAACATATCACCTCAGCATGAGTCTGTCACAAACCCCGGCCCTCCCCCTCCCTCGTCTTCAGTTCACCTTACTGTGACTTTCCCTTTACCCATCAACTACAACTGTTGGCTTTCCACTCCCTACATGGGCTGAGTAAATTACAGCTTCTCATGGTTAAGAAGGTACCCAATCTTATAAGGTTTATGATCACTAGGCATACAAGGGGTTTTCTGCTAGTTTACTAATTTTATTTCATCGGAGCAGGGGATTTCTGAGGCAGATTACTCTTCATTCTTCATTTAAGAATGTATGGTTTGGATTTCTGCCTTTCAGACTACATCCATGATGGCATACCCAGATGACAAATATTTAAAACAAAAATGTAAAGACAAGGCAGCCCTTTGTCTTAAGGGGAAATAACTTCTCTGCGTGCAACATTCAAAGAAACATAATGCTACCAACTTTCTTGTATAAATGAAGAGAACTAGGGCACACAAATAAATAAAAATACAAGGTACACCAAATCATCTAAACAGAAGATGCAAATTGTAATTTGTAACAATAACATTCCTTAGACATACCACACTCTCAGGAACACCGGGAGGGGGTAAGGGAAGGTTTCTTGGTGGAGGTCCACGTAGATATGATCTCTTGTCGAATCTCCACTCCCCGATTTTGCCGTATGTTAGCTCACCCTAAAAAGTTGGAAACTTCAGATAACTAGGGAACTAACAACGGGATATATATTATCTATATTCCATCCGTTTAGTGCAAAACAAGAAACAAAGAGGAAGAAGAAGGTGGCTCTCGGTAATGGCTAACCCGAAAGCACGTCCAAACTTTTAACATTGTACTTATAAGCGCAAATTCATAACAGGAATCGACAAATAGGGGAAGGGCCACGCATACCTTTAAGCTGTAGTCACACCCATAAGTATAATGAATAATAAACTTTTTACCAATTTCCAAATCCCATGGGGGCTGAAAATTTAAAGACACAAGGACATTATTAACCACAATGTATAAATAAAATAAAAATGCAAATCAACTTTGATATGAAGAGCTTCTCTAAGTATGATTCCAAACCTGCAGCATGAAGTCCTTCCGAAGAACATGCTGCACTCCATGCAAAGCAGATGCTACAGCATATGCATACCTTAGTTCATCAAACAAAATCAGAAGCAGAGAGACACGTCAAAGCTGGTACCTCTAATTGCTAGAACTCAATATAGTTAAAACTAAAGTCAGTCAAACTTACATTTCTAGCACCCATCCGAAAGCTTTATCCGTCTCTGCGTCTTCTTTCATTCTCAAAGAAACATTCATCCATGTCGGAGCAATCTTTTCCAGTAAATCCTGAATAATTATATTGATTCATTCATCACATTGCTCAAATTTTCCCAACAAAACAAGATCAATTGATATAAATCAGAAATATTATTTTTATCAAATCCTGAATAGTTACATTTATTCATTCATCACATGGCTCAATTTTGCCCTACAAAACTAAATCAATAAAAATCAGCAATAGTGGTTCCAGCAAATCCTGAATGATTACATTTATTCGGTCATCACATGGTTCACTTTACCCAACAAAAGAAGATAGTTTGATATAGATCAGCAATAGTAGTTCCAGGAGTTATATATGATGACAATGAGTAATTTTAAGAGGACAAAATTACGGAAAACTAGAAACACCATTACAGTTCAGAAACTCAAATAAATTGGCACATCAACATTTTTAAATGTCTCAAACATAATAAGGGCCATCACAAATACTAAATAAGGCCAAACAAAGTACAGTTTACCAAAAGATACTACCTTTCTGATAATTACAGGAGAATTGCCAATTGGATCAACATTTGTGACTGGGCCATTCTCCTCAGGATAAAACTTTCTTATGATCTTCTCATTCTGCAAAGGTTTAATGTAGAAAAATGGGAAGCCAGCTGGATATCCTCCATGAGCCAAATTAGGAAGAGGATTTATAAAAATGTGATCAGGCTCTGCCATCAAAATATATCTGCAACAACAAAAGTAGAAGGATTTAATACTCAAGTATAAGGTTAAACATAAGAAAACGTAAGATCATCAAATATGCAGATGCTCACTCTTCCTCAATTGTAGCTTTTTCCAGCCATTGAACAAAAGCCCATGGTCTGTTTAAGACAATATATCCCTGTATAAAAAATTTGCAATTATGTCAGGAAATATATATATCGATAAAATGTACATAGTATAAATTATCAGAATGATAATAACTACTTAAACTTCTTTTATAATTGCATAAAATTTATTAAACTTATTTGATAATCATATAAAAGTTAGTGAAAATCACCTAGAGAGAGAGAGAGAGAGGGGGGGGGGGGGGGGGGGGGGGTGGCTACTCTTAAACATATTTGATTGATAGATAAGGAAACAGAACCCAATCAACAACATCATATGGACAGGTTGTGATAGGAGATAGGTAGAGATATATACTCTGACTCTGAAAAAGGCTTCAATCAAAACAGTTCACACAGGATTAGCAATAATCTTCAACTATAGAGTTACAAGGTCTAAGATTTACACATCAATCAAGTTACAGTTAAACCCATTTATTCATAAGAAATACCATATACGTCATCATTAAGGAAAGATCCAAGAAGTTAAAATGGCTGCATTTCTGCAAGTATTTCATAACAGTAACCTAAATATCTTTGCTTAAAGGATATAATAATTAGATGCGGAACTTAAATTAATAAGTTTCACATATCTTCCAGTGAGTAGCAAATCGTTGAAATATCAATAACCTGGATCAGCTTGAACCGTGAAAATCAAAATACATGCTATTCTTCTAATGATTCATTGCTTTTCCCGCACTCAACATCAGTCTTAGCTTCAGCTCCAAAAAAGAATAAAAAAGGCATAATCTTAGCTTTTTCTTTATGGCTCTTTTCCTTTACTCTCCTTTATTTTCAGCAAATTCTAAAACATATCTAATATTGCCAAGCCCCTTATTTTGACTTTAGATTAGACATAGAATTGTGCAAACAGACATAATCACGTCCAACTGATATAATGAAGTTACTCCCTGAGGGAAGAAGTAAGAATTCACAACTAAAAGGTTGAAAAGAAAGAACAAATGAATGAAACATACAAAGACATGGAATATAGTCACCAAAAGGTTATAGTGCAAGAAGCCTAACCCGATCAAGACCTGCAGGAAGAGGATCAACGACCATAGTTGGGATCTCATCCATCAAGTTGTCAGGATTTCCTGAATGCAAAATTCTGGTAAAACCTCCCATCTCCGATCCAGGCAAGTCCTTATTCTTCTTATACCAATAGTACATAATGCGACACTGCCATTTGCTGTAAGGAGCATCGGTGGCTGTTAAGGCAACATGGAATGGTGACTTGGAATTCTTGAATTTCTTCACATTCTCAGGCATCCCAATAATGGGGTCAGACAGTAACCCACCATGCGAATTATCACCTACCCACTTCCCAACAGATCTATAGTGGATTATCATAGTTAAAAAATTATAAGTGGCAAAGAAAAACCCAAGAGCCAAAAGAACCAGAAGTAATGGTGAAGCTCGTCCCATGTTCTTCCTCCCAATCATTGTTTATTACAAATGGATAAAAATCTCAGCTTTCCCAAATGAATAACACAGTAATTTTCCTATTCCATCACAGCATAGAATGAGAATTTTCAAATTCAGCTGTTCAGAACATAATTTAGCAGCAGCATTAAACCCTTCTTTTATCTTGTACAACTTCCGAAAAGTTTCTGGAGATACCTACATTAAGCAACTCCAAATAATTAGCCCAAAAGAATTGATATGATGACCAAATTAAGGCCACTGGTTCACAAGAGATCACCAGTAAATAGAATTTTTTTTAAAAATTATGCAAGAACTTTTCAATGAATTTGACCCAAACACTTTTATGAATGAAATAACCCACTCTACCAAACCCATTCCAATTAATAATTCATAGGTTGTTTTACGTGATAGAGTAGCAATTAGTGTTTAACAGCTGTTATCATAGAATTTCAAGAGAACTTTCAGGAGATAACCCACAAATTCTGAGCACTAATGAGCAGTTTATATCAAATTGAGGACAACATATCAATCTTAAGATTACTAAGTATGGAAATGGGGACCACTTTGGATCAAATTTTAAACAAGTATGATGACAAATGCCATTAAGAATAGTGAAACCAGTAAACTCATATAATCAATTTCAAATTCCTCTGCTTTCCACTAATCGGACTCCGGAGTATCTTTAACCCACAACGTCCTTAAGAAAAGGAGGGTGGGAAAAGCATCATCCACAATTCAAGACATACAAACAAAAATTCAAGGGGAACTCAGTTGACACCCCTTTCAAATGCTCTCTACACCTGCTCATTTGGGGGGCTGTCAATAGAATTCCCCAAATTTAATTCTTGCATGCCAATGTGAATTGGATGCCATCATATGCATATAGATCAGACACACTCAAAGCTTCAAATTTTTTCAAACTTTTCCAAATTCATATTATAAGAACAGTTAACATACTCTAATCAGTAAAACCCAGAACATAAGAATTTAGATATTCAATGTACAAAGAACTGAGAAACCAACTACAAGTTCATACCTTTAGAAACCAACCCAGAACCCAGAAAAAACCCCAAAAGCAAAATGAAAGATTAAAGGAAGTAAGAAATGTAGAAGTCGTCTCAGTTATTAAGGTATAAAGCTCAAACAATATGGGTTTTGAGATCAGATACATACAGACATACAGAGAGAGAGAGAGGAGAGAGAGAGGACCTTGACCTGCGCGCAGGTGGAGAAGGATAGAGATTGGGAAAAAGGGGTATTCGGATCAGAGAAATAATAAGTAAGGATTTTGTCGATTTGACAAAAGTGCGGGTTATGGAGATTCCGACTCCTCCTTGTCTGTCTTTTTCGGTTGGTGTTTGAGCAACCTTTTTATAACATCATGTCAAACTATTAGTGGATTAATTTTCAAGTCTTAGGGTTTTTAAAAAATAATTATTACATAGATTATAGTATACACCAATGTGTCCAATGCTAAATTTTTTTTCTTTTTCTTTTGGTCGGACGTCAAATGCTTTGATGTAAAGCACTCTTCCAAAAAAAAATAAACAAAAAATGCTAAGTGATCGTAAGAAAATCATAGAACCACATTCTGTGTCAGAAGTAAAATTAAAAAGAAAAAGAATACAAAATTCAGTCCTACCTACCTTTTTTATTTTCTTTTCTTTTTTTGTCTTATTGGCAGGTTCTTGTTCCTGCTTTTGTTTTACGGGTTATTCCTTATGACCAAATTATTTGGACATTTAAAAGGGAAATCAACAGAAAATCCCACAATCGAGGAATATGCATACCCAACGGTTTATTCCTAGACGGATCGACACAATTGTGACAATTGAAAACAAAAATAATGGAATAAGGAGAAGTCCTAAAAGTTTGCACAAATGGGTTAGTTCAAAACTACGGAAATCAATCGTAAGTATTTACACGGTCGCATTCAAAAATACAGGTCAGATCAAATGCCAAATAATGGGTTGTTGGTTCGTTTTGCGGTTTTTAATAAAAATTATGTTCAGGTTAATTTAGGTCCAAGTTATATGTTTTTCTTTTACATTTTGGCCGTTGTAGCCGCAATTCCAACCAAAATGTCTATAAAAATGCTATACATTTTTCATTTAAAACATCATCTAAAATCTAATATGCCATTATAATTTAGATAATAGAGTAGATGTTTAGTGACACAATAGTTGTGTTTCTTTAAAAAATAAATAAATAATAACATGCCATAAAATAATTTTCAAAGTTGAGTACAACCCAAATATCAATAGACTTCAAATGTCATCAACCAGGCTGATCGTTTTTTTTTACGGCTATTTATAAAGACCGCAACTGTAGAGGGCATAACAACGTGGGAGGGGTTCAGTTTGTTGACCAGTCAGTGTGCATGGACAGAATGTTGCGTCACTAGTGATGACCCGATATGAACCGCATGACACAAAAACAATGTTTGTCACCATTTGCAGTTGGGTTGCTGGGTGTAGTTAGAGACAACCTACAGTTAAATAAGCCATTATCTAAACATAAATATATGAGTTATGGCTTTTTTTTTTTTTTTTTTTTTTTTTTTTTTTTTTTTTTTTTTTTTTTTTTTTTTTTTTTTTTTTTTTTTTTTTTTTTTTTTTTTTTTTTTTTTTTTTTTTTTTTTTTTTTTTTTTTTTTTTTTTTTTTTTTTTTTTTTTTTTTTTTTTTTTTTTTTTTTTTTTTTTTTTTTTTTTTTTTTTTTTTTTTTTTTTTTTTTTTTTTTTTTTTTTTTTTTTTTTTTTTTTTTTTTTTTTTTTTTTTTTTTTTTTTTTTTTTTTTTTTTTTTTTTTTTTTTTTTTTTTTTTTTTTTTTTTTTTTTTTTTTTTTTTTTTTTTTTTTTTTTTTTTTTTTTTTTTTTTTTTTTTTTTTTTTTTTTTTTTTTTTTTTTTTTTTTTTTTTTTTTTTTTTTTCTTCTTAACTACCACACTCTCAGGAACCCGTGAGGAGTAAGGGAAGGTTTCGTGTGGTGTTCACGTCATCGATCTCTCTTGTCGAATCTCCACTCCCCGATTTTGCCGTGTTACTCAACCAGAAAAAGTGGAAACTTCAGTAACTAGGAACTAACCAACGGATATAATATCTCTATATCCATCCGTTTGGGGGAAAACAAAACAAGAGAGAAAAGGGCTCTCGTAAGGGCTAACCCGTACAAGCACTCCAACCGGTAACACATGGTCTTATACAGCTCAAATTCATAACAGATCGCCACATATGTGGGAAGGGCCCATCTCATCCTTTAAGCTGTATCACAACCTTCCTTTTACTTTTTTCCCTCCCTCCATCTCTTATTTATTCTTTCCCTCGCTACTTATAAACTAGCGGCTGGTTAGTGTTCAGAAGAACTTTGTTGTCGACAACCGAAAATCTTCACTAAATAAAATCCGGTCAGCAAAAAAAAAAACTGTCGAAATGGCGGCTTGTCTGACATTCTGCTGGCAAATCTTCTAAGGACCACGTTTGAGATGCTAGGTGTGCGTCCAAACAACTCTGTGCATCATCAATCCCAACCCGCGCAACAAGAACGTAATGGAGCTACACACCGAAAAACTCAAAAAGACAAACGCAATCTAAATGGAGAAAAAAAAGAAAAGGCACGACTTGGCAGCCGAAAATGACAACTAAAAAAGTGCCAACGCCTATGATTAGAGTCTGTTGCAGTGGAGAGCATGGGCTGTACACATGGAAATACATACGGAATAAAACTCTGAGGAACGAACAAATAAACGAGGCTCCACTAAAGAGTGGGACCTCAAGCGAAAAGCAACTCAGAGCCCGTCTCTCATGAATCAACGATAGGAGAAAGACAAAAACAAAGGCACAGACAGCAAGAAGAACCGCAGAAACGATTTCAGAAACACAGAAAAAAAACAAGAACAACTTCAAAGGAGCCGGAGCGAAGAACCAAAAGAAAACGATCACGCAAAGACGAAACGCACTTAAAGAAGCTGAAGGTGAACAAAAAACGACGGAACTAATTAGCGAAAACCCATAGAGAATCCTACGTACCAGGTCCACGAAGTAGCTAAACATAGACAACATAACAGAAAAAGAAAGCAGCAAAAAGAAGAGAAAGGTACAAAGAAAGAATAATACAAAACAATCACCAGGAAACGAAGCAATAGAACGACGAAATATAAAGCAATCTACGAAAGCTTAGCAAGGGAGAAGCGCTAAACAAAACAACAGAACCTACCACCAAGAGACAAACACCACACAGACCACAGCGCCTCAGCTGAAAGAACATATAAAAAAGCTCTAAAGCTAACAACAAAGATCAACAACACGGAGCAGAATAACATCAAGAGCTTAAGAAAAGACAAACAAGAGAAAGAGCGACAAGAACAAAAAAAACTCAGAGAAGAAGGGCAATCAAACAGAAAAAAACAAAAACCATCAGGAGAATAACAAACACAAACAAAAAGAAAAAAAGCCAAGAGACCAATAACAGGAGTCAAAAAGAAACACGCGAAACAAAAAAATACAACGCCAGCAAAGCCGGCAAACGTGAGAGATCGACACAGAACAGCAACAAATCACTACCAGAACAGAACAGACAACCAGGAACAAAACAAAAAAGAAGGAGCAAGTGCAAGGGGAGGAAGGAACTGGAGGAGAGGGGTAAAAAAAAAAAAAAGAAAACTGGGAGAGGTAAACGATACGTGGGCCGAAAGCAAAGACAACAATGGACGCAACCACAGGCTCAGCGCGAACCTGATAAGCACGATACCTAAATTATAAAGAACACCAGCACACCCTACACCGCAGCGCAGCAAACCTAAAAACAGATGAAAACAACACGACAAGGCGCTACCGCTACCTAATAACAACAAAAAACTACGCGGGGGAACAAGACCGGAAGAAAACCGAAAAGGGACGAAGCCAGGCGCCGAAAAAGAACGAAAGGAGAAAAGGAGAAAGAACCAGCGATACCAACCAAGGAGAGATAAAGTATCACCTGCCAGCAATATAGCTCAAACAACAAAAAAATATACGCAGAGATTAACAAAAACGATCATCAATACATCCACTCTTCCTCAAGTGTAGCTTTTCCACCATTGAACAAAACCCATGGTCTGTTTAAGACAATATATCCCTTATAAAAAATTTGCAATTATGTCGGAAATATATATATCGATAAAATACTAGTATAAATTATCAGAATATAATAACTACTTAAACTTCTTTTATTAATTGCATAAAATTTATTTAAACTTATTTGATAATATATAAAAGTAGTGAAAATCAGAGGCTCTTTAACATATTTGATTGATAGATAAGGAAACAGAACCCAATCAACAACATCATATGGACAGGTTGTGATAGGAGATAGGTAGAGATATATACTCTGACTCTGAAAAAGGCTTCAATCAAAACAGTTCACACAGGATTAGCAATAATCTTCAACTATAGAGTTACAAGGTCTAAGATTTACACATCAATCAAGTTACAGTTAAACCCATTTATTCATAAGAAATACCATATACGTCATCATTAAGGAAGATCCAAGAAGTTAAAATGGCTGCATTTCTGCAAGTATTTCATAACAGTAACCTAAATATCTTTGCTTAAAGGATATAATAATTAGATGCGGAACTTAAATTAATAAGTTTCACATATCTTCCAGTGAGTAGCAAATCGTTGAAATATCAATAACCTGGATCAGCTTGAACCGTGAAAATCAAAATACATGCTATTCTTCTAATGATTCATTGCTTTTCCCGCACTCAACATCAGTCTTAGCTTCAGCTCCAAAAAAGAATAAAAAAGGCATAATCTTAGCTTTTTCTTTATGGCTCTTTTCCTTTACTCTCCTTTATTTTCAGCAAATTCTAAAACATATCTAATATTGCCAAGCCCCTTATTTTGACTTTAGATTAGACATAGAATTGTGCAAACAGACATATCACGTCCAACTGATATAATGAAGTTACTCCCTGAGGGAAGAAGTAAGAATTCACAACTAAAAGGTTGAAAAGAAAGAACAAATGAATGAAACATACAAAGACATGGAATATAGTCACCAAAAAGGTTATAGTGCAAGAAGCCTAACCCGATCAAGACCTGCAGGAAGAGGATCAACGACCATAGTTGGGATCTCATCCATCAAGTTGTCAGGATTTCCTGAATGCAAAATTCTGGTAAAACCTCCCATCTCCGATCCAGGCAAGTCCTTATTCTTCTTATACCAATAGTACATAATGCGACACTGCCATTTGCTGTAAGGAGCATCGGTGGCTGTTAAGGCAACATGGAATGGTGACTTGGAATTCTTGAATTTCTTCACATTCTCAGGCATCCCAATAATGGGGTCAGACAGTAACCCACCATGCGAATTATCACCTACCCACTTCCCAACAGATCTATAGTGGATTATCATAGTTAAAAAATTATAAGTGGCAAAGAAAAACCCAAGAGCCAAAAGAACCAGAAGTAATGGTGAAGCTCGTCCCATGTTCTTCCTCCCAATCATTGTTTATTACAAATGGATAAAATCTCAGCTTTCCCAAATGAATAACACAGTAATTTTCCTATTCCATCACAGCATAGAATGAGAATTTTCAAATTCAGCTGTTCAGAACATAATTTAGCAGCAGCATTAAACCCTTCTTTATCTTGTACAACTTCCGAAAAAGTTTCTGGAGATACCTACATTAAGCAACTCCAAATAATTAGCCCAAAAGAATTGATATGATGACCAAATTAAGGCCACTGGTTCACAAGAGATCACCAGTAAATAGAATTTTTTTAAAAAATTATGCAAGAACTTTTCAATGAATTTGACCCAAACACTTTTATGAATTGAAATAACCCACTCTACCAAACCCATTCCAATTATAATTCATAGGTTGTTTACGTGATAGAGTAGCAATTAGTGTTTAACAGCTGTTATCATAGAATTTCAAGAGAACTTTCAGGAGATAACCCACAAATTCTGAGCACTAATGAGCAGTTTATATCAAATTGAGGACAACATATCAATCTTAAGATTACTAAAGTATGGAAATGGGGACCACTTTGGATCAAATTTTAAACAAGTATGATGACAAATGCCATTAAGAATAAGTGAACCAGTAAACTCATATAATCAATTTCAAATTCCTCTGCTTTCCACTAATTCGGACTCCGGAGTATCTTTAACCCACAACGTCCTTAAGAAAAGGAGGGTGGGAAAAGCATCATCCACAATTCAAGACATACAAACAAAAATTCAAGGGGAACTCAGTTGACACCCTTTCAAATGCTCTCTACACCTGCTCATTTGGGGGGCTGTCAATAGAATTCCCCAAAATTTAATTCTTGCATGCCAATGTGATTGGATGCCATCATATGCATATAGATCAGACACACTCAAAGCTTCAAATTTTTTCAAACTTTTCCAAATTCATATTATAAGAACAGTTAACATACTCTAATCAGTAAAACCAGAACATAAGAATTTAGATATTCAATGTACAAAGAACTGAGAAACCAACTACAAGTTCATACCTTTAGAAACCAACCCAGAACCCAGAAAAAACCCAAAAGCAAAATGAAAGATTAAAGGAAGTAAGAAATGTAGAAGTCGTCTCAGTTATTAAGGTATAAAGCTCAAACAATATGGTTTTGGAGATCAGATACATACAGACATACAGAGAGAGAGAGAGAGAGAGAGAGGACCTTGACCTGCGCGCAGGTGGAGAAGGATAGAGATTGGAAAAACGGGTATTCGGATCAGAGAAATAATAAAGTAAGGATTTTGTCGATTTGACAAAAGTGCGGGTTATGGAGATTCCGACTCCTCCTTGTCTGTCTTTTTCGGTTGGTGTTTGAGCAACCTTTTTATAACATCATGTCAAACTATTATTGGATTAATTTTCAAGTCTTAGGGTTTTTAAAAATAATTATTACATAGATTATAGTATACACCAATGTGTCCAATGCTAAATTTTTTTTCTTTTCTTTTTGGTCGGACGTCAATGCTTTGATGTAAAGCATCTCTTCCCAAAAAAAATAAACAAAAAATGCTAATTGATGTAAGAAAATCATTAGAACACATTTCTGTCAGAAGATAAAATAAAAAGAAAAAGAATACAATAATCAGTCCTACCTACCTTTTTATTTCTTTCTTTTTTTGTCTTATTGGCAGGTTCTTGTTTCCTTGCTTTTGTTTTACGGTTTATTCCTATGACATCAATCTATTTGACATTTAAAAGGAAATCAACAGAAAATCCCAAAATCGAGGAATTGCATACCCAAACTCGGTTTATTCCTATGACGGATCGACAATTGTGACAATGAAAACAAAAATATGGAATAAGGAGAAGTCTAAAAGTTTGCACAAATAGGGTTAGTTCAAAACTACGGAATCAATCAGTAAGTATTACACGGTTCGCATTCAAAAATACAGTCAGATCAAATGCAATAAACTGGGTTTTGGTTCGATTTGGTTTTAATAAAAATTATTTCAGGTAATTTAGGTCCAAGTTAATATGTTTTTCTTTTACATTTTCAACTTTGTTAGCCCAATTACAACCAAAATGTCTATAAAATGCTATACATTTTTCATTTAACACATTAAAATCTAATATGCCATTATAATTTAGATTAATTAGAGTAGATTAGACAATAGCTTGTGTTTTTTAAAAAATAAATAAATAAACATGCCATCAAATTTTCAAAGTTGATTACAACCCAAATATCAATAACTTCAAATTTCATCAACCATGGCTGATTCGGTTTAGGCCTATTTATAAAACCGCAACTGTAGATGGGCATAACAACGTGGGAGGGTTCAGTGTTGACCATGTCAGTGTGAAGAATCGTTGGTCACATGCTGACCCGATATGAGGCATGACAAAACAATTTTGTCCACCATTTGCAGTTGGGTTGCGGTTAGTTAGAGAACAACCTACAGTTAAATAAGCCATTATCATAAACATAAATATAGAGTTATGGCCTAATAACAATGTAATTGATAACTGACCATTTTCTATTAGTAGTATGATTAACTATTGTAACTGAAATACTATTCTAACTCCTTAATACTCCCCCACAAACTTGACATTGCTGAGGAGACAAGTTTGGAAATATGTCGGGCAAAACGATCTGTAGGCAATCCTTTAGTGAAGACATCTGCAAGTTGATAAATAAAAGGTATGAAACGAACCCGTTGACTTCCTGAGGCAACACATTCCCAACAAAGTGATAATCGATAGCTATGTGTTTGGTTTGGGCATGAAACACTGGATTGGCCACAAGATTTGTGGTTGAAAGATTATCATAATTAAGAATAACAGGATGTGGAATAGGATGTCGAAGTTTATGTAATAGACCTCAAATCCATATAGTGTCTGCACAAGCATAAGCTAGGGCGTGATACTCAGCTTCGACGCTTGAAAAAGAAATTGTGAATTATTTCTTTGCACTCTAGGAAATTAGATTTGGTCATAAAAAGACACAGTATCCAGTGGTGGACCGACGAGTATCCGGGCTATCTACCTAATCAGCATTCGAATAGGCAACAAGGAATGAGGAGTCTGTAGAATGACGAATAGGAAGGCCAATATCGAGGGTGCTTTTGAGATATCGCATAATGCGTTTCACTACTTTATGATAAACATTAGTGGGGGAACCAAAGAACTAGAAAACATGTTATACGGCATAGAAAATGTCAAGAAGAGTCATGGTTAGGTACTATAGAACACTGACAAGTTGTCTATAGACAGTGGGTTCAGGCAAAGCCATGCCATGAGTGTGAGAAAGGTTGCCTTTAGAAGCCATTAGTGTAAAGATCGGTTTACAATCTTGCATATTGCTTCTTTTGAGAATACCAAGGGCATTTTTGGTTGGATTGAGATGAACAGAATCAGAGTGATAGGTGATTGCGATGCCAAGGAAATAATGTAACTTGCCAAGGTCTTTAACATCAAAGTCGGCGCCCAACATATCAATAAAGGCATTTAAATGTGACTGATTGCTCCCCGTGAGTATGATGTCGTCAATGTAGACAAGTAAAATCATATTATGAGATTGATCCTGATAACAAACATATAATCATCAAAGTGACTTTGAGTACAACCAACACGAAGCAAGAATGAACTAAAACATTGGAACCAAGCGCGTGGTGTTTGTTTAAGGCCGTAGATAGCCTTGTGAAGTTTGCAGACATGTTGTGGCCGGCTAGGATCCATAAACCCATAGGGTTGCTACATATAGACCTCTTCAAATAGAGGGCTAAGGAGGAAGGTGTTCTTGACGTTGAGCTGTCAAATAGGCCACCTAGAACTACTGTAATACTGAGCATAGTTCGAATTGTCGTGGGTTTAAAAACTGAGCTAAACGTATCAAAATAGTCTACCCCATACTGTTTATGAAAACCTTTAGCCACAAGTCGAGCTTTGTAGCACTCGACGGTATCATCGGATGACCATTTTACCTTGAATACCCATTTTCACCCAACAATGTTATGTGTGGAAGAAGGAGGAACCAAGGACTAGGTGCCTTATTTGATAAGGGCGTTGAATTCATCATGCATGGCTTGTCTCCATTCAAAAGATCAAGCAGCTTATGTGAAACAGGTGGGTTCAACATCAGTGTCGAGTAAAGTAGCTAGAGCATGTGGTAGGGTTATCAGATAGAGACTGATTTTCACTTAATCATGTACTCCCTAATACTAATCATGGACTTCTATGTTTGTGCAAATATTTTCACGAGAGAATATCCGCGATCCTTCGTCTCTAGAACTTCCTTATCTTTCTTCCTCGATTCTTACGAAAAAGATAAGAGTAAATAGACCACACCTGGGGATATTGGCCAAAAGACCTCCGATGCCTAAGTTAGTTCGATTGAATCTAGGTGAAACAATAGCTAAAAAAGGATACGAAGTCTTCTCTAAGGTGAGAACTGAGTGGCCGTAGCCGTGTGTGGTGGTCGGAGTCGTGTATGAAAATATGAAGAGAGAGAGAGAGAGAGAGAGAGAGAGAGAGTAGAGAATTTTGGGTGTTTTAGAGCTAGGTTCGGATTGAGTTTTCGATTACCCTGTGTTTTGAATGAAGCCATGTATTTATAGGGCTCTAGGCATATAGGGTTTTTCAAAGAATAATTCATATTTAGAAGGGTTTATTCTGTCCCCAAATTGTAGATATTAGGTCCATTAGGGATTTTATTATGTCCTCATAGAAGGCACAATATCTTCTGGCATCCCTCTTATCCAGGCCTATCTTCAAGGGTGATGGTCTCCTTACCCAAGGCTTATCCTTCACTTGGGCTAAGATATGATGTATGGGGATGAAGAACTTGGTGTAGTTCTCTTATGCTAGAGCGTCTTCTCAGTGGCGCCATTTGCGCTTGCGATTATTCATGCTATTGAACCTATCACTCTTCTAACCTACCTGTTTGGTCGGTTGATTAGCCTGCTTCGTAGACTTTTTCGCGACGATTCGATAGTTCTCCCAGAGTGCGTCATGTTTTGCGGTCACAAAGACCTCTGCTAGAGTATGGCTGGAATCAATAGTTAGCTCTTGGTATAAGTCGTGCTTAGCTGGCAAGCCTTTCTTGAAGGCATATGACGTGATTTGGTCATTGCACCCTACAATGTTTGCCTTTTCTACTTTGAATCTCTTAATGTAATCTTAGAGGGATTCATTAGACTTCTTGCGCAGATTGAGCATGTGGTCAGGGTTCTTCTTGATCGTTCAGTAAGAAATGTATTCTTTGGTGAAGACAAAAGCTAGCTCCTTGAAGCTGCCCCTCATAAAGTCATGACAAACACTTTGCACATCAGCACATCTTTGGCCTTGTAAAGAATCTCATTTTGAGGGTCGTTAGGTTGACCTCCTAAGGGTCTAGCCTCTCATAAACATTTCCTTGTGGGCCTAGGTGGGAGCGAATGTCAGGTCGTGAGCCTAACATTTCGGGCACATTGGTCCTTGAACTCAATCTAGATTGGAGACTTTGCTTGCTTTGAGCCTGGCTTGCAAATGCTTATGACATGCCAGCATGCTGGTCATGTTCTTGTCATTATCCTTGTTTGCTTGCTCATGCTCGAACTACCTGCCGGTGCATTTGTCCATCATTCTCTCTTCGACCTGTGGTCTAAGGATAAGGTTTTAGACCAAGTATATTTGGTTAAGGATTTGCCTCACCAAGTCATTTTGGTCATCTATTCTCTAGGTCTGCTGGTCGACTATAAGACTGAGGTCTACTTGACTTCGTGGAATGAGATGAGAGAATTGTGTGGAGCCCAATTATACACGGGCTAGGGTTTCATTAGAGGTGTACGCGTGAGCATATGTTGAGTGCGGTGACAAATGAGGGAATAAGTGAAGTTGCTCCCAGTTTGGGCCAAAATTGGTGATGATGCCAAGTTGGCTGCGAGTGGTGATGTGGTGATGGAGAGCATCGATTCTTGTAGCAAGGTCGCATGGTGGAGGATTGCTCGGGCCATGCACGTGGTGGCACTGCAGCGAGGTTGCGACGATGTCACTACCGAGGGGTGTACTAGTTTCGATTGCAGGGCCGTGCAATGGCATGGTGGCTTCAGCCATAAAGCCTAGTGGCTATGGTGTTCCTTTCATTGTAAAGTCATGAGATAGCACGGCGGTGCGTGCAAAGCTGATCATCTCGGTCACAGGACCTAGAGGAGGAGTTGTGACAGCAGTAGGAGCCGAGGTGGCAGCTGTGGCATCGTAAGGGCGAGCCACGGCTTCGGTTGCAACATGGGACTGTCTCGGAGCCGCAACATCGTGATGGCCTGAGCCCTTCGTGGATTGGGCCATTGCGTCAGTCTTGCTCCTCTTGTGCTTGCTTCCGGCCTGGTTATTCAAAAGGCTTTGGTTGAGCGAAAAATGGAGGAAACAAATTCCTTTGATTCAAGAGCACGCATTGAATATAACTTGTGCTCTCAATGAAAGCACCAAATGTTTGTGCAAATATTCTTACGGGAGAATATTCGCTTGAAGATCCTTCGTGTCTAGAACTTCCTTCTCTCTTCCTCGATTCCTACGAAAAAGACCAGAGTAAATATACCACACCAGGGGGTTGGCCAAAGAGCCTCCGATGCATAAGTTAGTTCAATTGAATCTAGGTGAAACAATAGCTAAAAAAGGGGACGGAGTTTTCTCTAGGGTGAGAATCAGGTGGCTGTAACCATGTGTGGTTGTCAGAGCTGTGTATGAAAATACGGAGAGATGATGGAGGCATGGCCAGAGGCAACGGTAGAGTCATTGGCTAGGACAGAGAGAGTGGAGAATTTTGGGTATTTTAGAGCTAGGTTTCAAATTGAGTTTCAGATTTTCTTGTGTGTTGAATGAAGCCATGTATTTATAGGGCTCTAGGCATCTAGGGTTTTTCAAAGAATAATTTCTATATGGAAGGAATTTATTCTATCCCCAAATTGTAGATATTGAGTCCATTAGGGATTTGATTGAGATTCAATCTCCTAATTTGATGATGATATCTCCAAATTAGGATAATATCATAATTGGGGATATTATCTTTTTAAATAAAGATAATATCCCCATTTTTAGTATCAATTAATTTGACAAATAATGAGCTCAATTAATTGACTTAGGAGATATTCTTCTTGTCCATGTAGCGCTTTGTGATTTGAAGTTGAAATATTTGTTCCCATATCCTTAACACCACAAGGAAGCCAAATGTGCCAAAAAAAAAGAAAAAAAAAAAAAAAAAAAAAAAAAAATATATATATATATATATATATATGCCTTCCTCTTGATTTTCCATTCAAATCTTTGAAGTTGATAGGAACCTCTCATATTAACTACCAACTATTTTTCATAGGTATCATCATTCAGCCTTGTTCTTGATGGCATGACCAGATAATAATACCAAATTTCTTAATGTTCTCGTATGTTTGGAGAGGTCTATTTACAACTTATTGGATTCTAGTGGGAATATCAATATGCAGATAATAATATCATGAGAAAGACTTCCATAAAAAGGGGATAACACTATTTTGTTATCCCCGACCAATAATACTGTAACACACGTGATAACACTTCTATGTGACATAACATTTTTTGGTCGGGGATAGCAAAGTAGTGTTATCCCCATTGCAACTAAGTTTTTCTCCAATATACATCAATTATAATATAAAAAAAAGGCTATGACAATGCATGCATGCATGCACAAAGTACTATCAAGTTACCCTCTCCCTTTGGAATAGGATTGGTGGTGGCGGTCCTACTCTGAAATTACTTGTAGGATGACTAATAGTGCCTAGAGAGGGGTGAATAAGCCAATTTAAAATTATAATCAATAAATAAAAATAAACTTCGGTGGCAGGATTGATATGACTTATCAATCTGAAACGTGCATAACATAAAATAAAGGAACACAAAGAGAGGTAATTTACATGGTAAAACCCCACATCTTGGGACTCCTCAGTCCAAAACAAATCCACTAGAGAATGATGATTACATGAAGTACTCACACACTTATCCTAGACACACTCTAAATAATATTTACCGACTTCTTCGTAACTCAACTTCTATCACGGAATGACCTTTCAACTCTCCTTATGTGAAACCCGATATTGGTCGGGATCGATTCAAACTCACAGGAGAAAACTGCCACCACAGTCTTTGTGCCCTCAACAGTATGAGTCACCGAACTTTGCAAATGAATGCAATATGAATGATAAAGTGTTGATAAATCACCAAGTAAACATGGAACACTTGGTGATTTATCTCAAATAAAAACGCAGCTTTCTTAAACGTTTAAGCACACAAAATTATTGTTAAAAAGTTGTACAAGATGAAGAAGACAATGGTCTTCTTTTATATGCTTTTTGCTCCACCAAAAAAATAAAACCACGTTAAAAAAGATGAGGGACAAATAAATTCAATCACCAAAGATTTTTGTCATATTCTAAAGTTAAGGAACGTATAGTCCAATCAATTGGAAAATAAAAACCAACAAAGGAAATTTATGATAATCCCACCATTAAAGAAGTCCTAATATTCTTAGGTCAACTACCAAGAATATCTCAACACCTTTAATAATGTGATCTGATTAAAACTTAATTTCCAAGTAAATTACTTAAAAGATAAGTAACAAATCATGGATGAGAGAAAGAAAGAATAAGTAAAAAGATATTGCAAAATATGCCTAAATGAGATGCACTCTTAAATGGATTCTAATTGATTAAAATAAAGGAAGATCAAAGAAATAAAATCGTATCTGACTCCAGAAAAATGTTCCTATTATGAGTGCATGAAAAATGACATGTCTTACCCTTAAGATCAAATGTCTCATACGTGTTAAGTCACAATTCTGAAGCTAAATGACACTTCCAAACCTATACTAAGTTCAACGAAATGTCAATACAATTTCATACTGACATACTGTAACATCCCACATTGACCAACGGAGAGGGGGTGATGTGCCTTATATGTACATGCCCGTATCCATCTAGCACGAGGCCTTTTGGGAGTTCACTGGCTTCGGAGTCAAAGGAACTCCGAAGTTAAGCGAGTTGGGGCTAGAGCAATCCCAGGATGGGTGACCCACTGGGAAATTGCTCATGAGCTCTCAGAAAAAAAACCGTGAGGGCAGAGAAGGGGGCCCAAAGCGGACAATATCGTGCTACGACGGAGCCGATCCTTGGATGCGACACATACTCCTTGTCACCCCGTCATGGAATTTGATGACTGGCTTCTTCTGAATCTTCAATAAAAAAAGATTGTATATCATGGCTTGCCTTGGTACTTAGTCTTTTCGATTTATCTATGGTATATATGGAAATTTAGATGTAAGCTGATTTTTTAGCAAAGTTTTATTATGCCTTATGAGCCTTTGCCCTAGTTTACCATGCGTTGGATTGATACAATTCAATGCTTGTAAACCAATTATAGGCACTCCGGAGTACACTGTGGTTAAGCTCCAATGGAAAACCCTCAGACCTGGTGAGTGCAAAGTTAACACAGATGAAAGTAGAATCAATGCTACTGGTTTTAGTGGTACTGGAGGATTATCACTGGTTCCGAGGTTAATCCATTTGTACACGTCTTCCTTGTGAGTCTTAAAATCTAAGTTGCTTTAAGTTTCAAAAAGTAGCTCACGACCACATCATTTCTTTTGCTCTTTGTGTGGCATTCTGTTTGAGGTAAGTAACGTGATACCTTTTTCTAACTCGGTACTTGCAATTTTACTCGACCAAGGAACAAATCTCCAAGCTTTGACTTTGGCCGAGCTTCATCATGAAATATGGTTTGGCCAAGGGTTTTAGTCATTATCGTGATTCTTGGGTCGAGATCGAGGCCCATAAGTTTTTGGATCATGGAGATAATATTAGTCTTGGCAATTTGGACCTAGCTTTGAATATTGGGCTGAGTCCATTGTGTCACAACCGTGGGCTTTTGATCTCGATCCTTCGGTTTTGTTTTGAATTTTGACATATCGTCCTTTTGGGCCCAACACTAGACTTCACTAGGTTATTGCCATGTCGTTTCTTTTTGTAGATCCAAGGGGAAAACATTCAGGTATAAACGGAGTAGATGTACTCCTCACTCTGCGCCTGAGTTCGAATTCTCCTTCCAATGTTTAGATTAGTTTAAAGTATGCTTGTATTAAAAATAAAATAAAAAAAATTTCCTGCTTTAAAAAAAAACAGAGTATTTATATGTGAGAAGGACGTATTTGTCCACGGTGAATGAACACGGACGGGTTCCAAGGCATTGGGAGCAACAAATTTAAAAATTCAAAATTGCTTTTTCCCCTGCTACCTCATTGCACACGTACCACATCCATCTCACCGCCTCACTGCTGACGTAAGAAGTAAAACATCTCCACATTTTACGCATATCCGACGACCACCACAGGCACACATCACCACTTAGACCGTTGATCCTCCAAGATCAATTCGCCACCGTCAGATCTCGACCCCACAATTTCTCGTAGCTTCGTTTTATCATCGTACTCAAGCTACGCCCATTTCCAACGCTATATATATCATATCCACTTGGCCTGTTCTTGTTGAGAGACACAGCTTCTCATTTTCCTTTTTGCCCAAACAAAAAAAAAAAAAAAAAAAAATAAACAGAACAAGTAAAAGAAACATGGAACGGCGGCAGTTGGAGCGGAAGCAAAAACCATTGATTAAAGTAGTGGCTATTTGTGGGTCCCTGCGTGAAGGTTCATATAACCGCGGTCTTATTCGTTCTGGTTAGTTGCATATGATCTGGCATCTGTTTTTTGCTTTTTTATTTTTCAGTGTGAGTTTTGGGTTGTGATTGGGCGTTGCTGATTGTAGCGATTGAGATAAGCAAGTCGTCAATCCCCGGCGTGGAAATAGAGCACGTGGAGATCGCAGAGCTGCCAATGCTGAACACAGATCTGGAGGGCGAGGGAAGCTTTCCGCCGGTCGTTGAAGCATTTCGTCAGAAGATTCTAGAAGCTGATAGCATTCTCTTTGCCTCCCCTGAATACAATTACTCTGTCTCAGGTATTTTTCTGAATTTCTTTTTTTATTTTACAATTATATTTTCAACTTGAGGTTCAAGTTTGGTTGTTTTCTATTGTATCTGGTCACTTTACGTCTATTTCTAGATAATATCAAAATCCAAAATTTTCTTTTAATGTTAACTTCTAGAGTTTTTGCTCTCATTAGTAAAGGATTAGAGCAATGACTGCTTTCTAAAAAGGCTATGTATATGCGACCAGTCATAATCACTTTTAGAAAGAATTATCTCCCGTATGCTTGAAAGTGATTTTAAGTGATTATGAGTTGAGCACATAGGAGGTGTTTCTCCCCATAACTTGGGCATTATCAACCAATTCCTTATCAGAGTATTCGGTTGAGATTGGGTTGGCACAAAATACAATAAATAAATAATTAGCGCACCAAATTAATCGGTTGGTTCGCCATTGGTTTATTAAGTTTCACCACATTACTTTGGGTTCTCCAATCATAGTTTATTCCCCATAGCTTTAGCTAAAGCAACATCAGCATGGTTTATTCCCCATATAAAAAAAAAAGCTTGCTTGTTTCCATTTTCCATGGACTAGAAAACTTGTTGACTTGTAGTTTCTGCTATTTGCTGACCAATTTGACCCCATCTAATGCAGCACCTCTAAAGAATGCACTTGACTGGGCATCAAGAACCCCCAAATGTTTGGGGTGATAAGGCTGCTGCAATTATAAGTGCTTCCGGAGGCTCTGGTGGTTCACGATCCCAATACCATCTTCGCCAAATTGGAGTGTTTCTTGACCTCCATTTCATCAACAAGCCAGAGTTTTTCTTAAATGCATTTCAGCCTCCTGCAAAGTTTGACAAAAATAGCAACTTGATTGATGCAAAGACCAGGGAGAATCTGAAGCAAGTTCTTCTGTCCTTGCAGGCTTTTACTTTGAGACTCCAAGGAAGATAGAAGTTATGTGTGTGTGTGTGTGATTCATTTCTCATGCTATTTCAATTGTTATCAGAGAATGCGAGGCTATTAAAGTGACAAAATAAAGAGAGAGATGTCCTCTTTCGAAGATAAATTAAAATGGATTGTTCAGTTTTTTCCTTTTTTCCTTTTTCCTTTTGACATCCTATCTTTAATTTTTACTTTTCTTATTGTGCTTCCTGTTTTTAACTATGACTAAACAAAGGAAAGGATATCCCGGATGTCCAGTATGTGTATGTTCGTTTCATGCATTACATGTTCATAACAGGCATCCTAGAAATTTGGCTTTCAGGATAACCTTCATTTGCATTTAGGTGATTGCTTGTTTAAACACTTTGAATTACAGCACATACCTTGGCTGACTGGTCGGAAAAGATAGGGTGACCGGTTGAAAATGCTTGGAGAACTTAGAATTCAACAAATTATTGGGCGACTGGTCAGTTTTGGCAGAGAGCAGTTAATTCAGAAATTCACAAAACGACTGGTCAGTACTTGTTCAGACTGCGCAGCAGAAGTCAAAGTCACCTTTTTGGCTGGTGCATTTTCTTCTCATATCCCTTATTTCGGACCTAGCTCATATTCTGCCCCATTTTCTAACGAGAAGGGATGATTTTCAGCTACTCCAACCTCCATGGTCTCGATCACCTTTAATACATTATTGACGGAACAATGGAAAATATGAATTTAAAGATAATAATTCTCATTAAAAATGTAACAACCAAATACGATATTAAACTTACATGAAATTAACGTAAAACAACAAACACAAATTGGAAGAACTACTAACAAATTTAACGATTGAGACTTGCAAGAAAGATTTCACCCATACCTTTGTGCTCGCAGTTTGATAACTTAGTTATGTGTGAATGACATGTAGGTGTTGCTAGAGTGGGGATCACTAATCCTTTTGATTCTAGGTTGTCATATACATGTGTTTGATTCACACATAATTGCATTGTTATCTTTGTGGATGGTTTTAAGCTTAGAGATAAACTGTAAAATACACCTATTCACTCGATGAGACTCTCAAAATACAAGTTTTAATATTCTTGATTTTTTGTTCAAATTTTTTTAATATTCTTTTATAGGCTTTTTTGGGTATAAATTTGACTTAATAATGATAATTTCACTTTAAGTTACATTTTTATTCTCAAATCATTTAGAATTTTGAACTTTCTATACTTAATTTGGTGAACTTATTAATTATATGATTTTAGGTTTTGTAGGAGGTCTATTTGAAGCTGGAATGCTAAAAGATTGAGATATTGATTTGTCCAAATTCAAGCCAAATGTAAAGAAAATTGTTGGTGAATTATATTGAAGAATTAATTTTGGGATTATTTATAATTAGAGGAGACAAGTAGAGAGGAAGAAAAAGGAGACAAAATTATTGATGCTAAAAGAGCCTCTTCTATGTCATTCATATCCATTACCTCACAAATTCATTTCTATTAACTCTCCATCATCAACACCTCCACCATGCCACTATTGTAAAACCAAGTGTCACGGGATGACTTTTTCGGAGTCTTCCTTCTGTGCGGCCTTAGAGTTGATCGTCTCTCGAACAAGCTAAGTTAGCCTCCTTCCTACAACACAAGATCGAACCAAGCAAAGAACAATCGCAAGAGCAAGAACGCAAAAGAACGCAAAAGAAAGTTTGGGAGAATATCTGCTTGTATTGCTACTCAAATTCTTTACAAGTTGTGAGGTGAGGATATACAATGTGACATCCCCCTTATATACTATTCCTATCCCACCTACCACCACAGTAGGTGGCTAAGATACAATGTCACCTACCGGCATCTACCAACTACTGTCACCAACCGTAGTCTACCAACTACTGTACAACGAATCTAGACATGTGGGCTAAGAGGTCTAGCATGATCAATCCAACAGGTTGGGCCTTGAACATGCGGGCAGTGACATTCTCCGCCACCTAATCCGGTGACGTCCTCGTCGCCGCGGTAGATCCTTCTCATTCGAATACTTCGATGATGTCTTTGTACTTCCACAAAGACTCTTATTTCTCCCAGTTGCCTTCGGACTCTGGCAGGCCCTTCCATTTGACAAAGTACTCAAAGTACCTCGGTACACCCTTGCGTCACACCTCTCGCTTGGCCATGATGCACTCAACCTCCTTGTCAAATGAAGTCACCATCAAAGGTGGAGCTCATTGAGACTCTCCACGACTTGGCTCCTCGGGGTCGGCATGGTAGGGCTTGAGATTGCTCACATGGAACACCGGATGAATCTTCAATCGGGGTGGTAGTTCCACACAGTAAACAGCTCTTCCCACTGATTGGATGATAGGAAATGGGCCCTTATATCTCCTCAACAACGCCTTGTGTAACTTTCTAGTGGACTTGTGTTGAGAGGGGTTGAGCTTCACAAAGACCACATCACTTGGTTGGAACACAACATCTCGCCTATGCTTGTTTGCCTATTTCTTCATCTTCCGAGTTGCCTTCTTTAATTGAGCCCGAGCCAGCTCATTAGTCACCTGCCACTCCTTGGCTGTCTTGTATGCAACTGGGCTACTTTCGGTGTAGCCTGACACCACTGTGTTCAGTGTCATAGGTTGTTGTCCCATTGCCAACTCAAAAGGACTTGACCTTGTTGACTCCGACTGCTGCAAGTTGCATGAGAACTGAGTAACATCTAATAACTTTGCCCAAACTCGCTGGTTGGCACTCACATAGTGCCTCAGATTGTCCCACCTTGGAACATAGATCCTCTTCCTTGTTGCATAAAGAACACCATCATCGGGCCAAAATCTTCTTGTCTTCCCATCTTTGACAAGCTCCAACAGACTTTTGCTTGGGGATCATGCAACAAGCCCTCTCATATCCTCTGCTCCTTGTCATTGAGCTTCCGACTCTTGAAAGCCAATGGGTGTCCATCCTGCATAAGTACACCACCAATAATAGAATCTGATGCATCAGTGTGTACCTCAAAAGGTTTGCTAAGATCGAGTAGTCTCAGCATTGGTTCCTCCATAGGTACCCTCTTCAACTCATCGAAGACATGATCCACCTTCCTTCTAGGTGGTAAGGTTTTGGGCAACTCCTTAGGCATGACCTCTGCAAACGCCTTAAGGACTGCCTCCACAGCTTTCGGGATGGGTTGGACTTCCTTCTTAACTATATCCATCTTCATAGTTGCAAGGAACGTCGGTTTGCCCTTCTTCCAAGACTTGGAAAATTGCATGGCTGATAAGAGCTTCGACTCGCCTTGTTGCCTCACCACTGGCACCATGCATGGCATTGCTCCACCCTGTGCAATCACGTAGTATTGTAGAATGGAATGAGAAATGCTTTTACCTCGTCCATGAACTCCAATCCTAGCACGACATCGTAGTCATCCATTGGGATCACGGAGAAGTCAGCTACTCCCTTCCAAGTAGCAATGTGTAGTTCCACACCACGAGCTACCCCATCAATTAGTTTGGCAGTTGAATTCACCGTCTTCATACTGCCTGCTTCCTTCGAGACTCGACACCTAAGTCTCTTTGCTTCCTGCACAGACATAAAGTTGTGCGAGGCACCTGTATCCACCAGGCAACGGGTTGTCTTGCCATTCACCATGGCATCGACGAACATCACTCCTTTAGCTTGAACCTGTGGTTGAGCAACTTTGGCCTGTATGACATTGAAGTGGTGAATGGCCCCCATTCTTGCTTCCCTGTCGGCCTCCTCTTCCTTCTCTTGGTTCATAGCATTTAGAGCTTTCTTTTGCGGACAGTCCCGCATCATGTGTGCTCCATCGCACAAGTAGCAAGCTAGCTTCGACTTGTCTTTTCCCTTGTCACTTTTGTCATTCTTCCTCCCAAATGACTTGTGACCGTCAGACTTGTCTCCTGACTTGCTACCCTCTTTTGGCTTGTTGTCTTCCCCACCGGATCCACTGCTATCTTTCTTTCCTTTGAACTTGGAGTCGCCTTGATCATTCCTCTTGAACTCAACAAGAGACTCAGCTGCAGCAATTGTCTCTGACAAGGTTTGGATGTGTCTCCTTTGTAACTCCAGCTTGGCCCAATTCTATAGGCCGCTCATGAAGTACATGAGCTTGTCTTCTTCTGTCATGCTAGGCACCTCAAACAATAAGTTGGTGAATGTGGCGACGTAGTCCTTCACGCTCCCCGTTTGCTTTAGCCATCTCAGCATCTCCTTTGCCTCATACTTGGCATTCTCTGGATAGAAATGCAACATAATATCTTTCTTAAATTCATCCCAAGTCTCAAATGTAAACGTACCTTGTTCGATCTCCATGGATCGACGACGCCACCACATGAGAGCATTGTCGGTGAGAAACAATGTTGCCGTGTTGATCTTGGGCTCATCATCCTCGAGCTTCAGATACTTGAAATACCTCTCGATATTCCACAAAAACGTGTCTAGCTCCTTCGCCTCCCTCTTCCCATTATAGGATTTGGGCTTGAAAGAATCTAACACCTTGGGTTCCTTTATAGTCCAGGTCTTGTTCAAGATAGCTTCCTTGCACAAAGCCTAATCTCCCTTCACATCCTTCACCTTCTCACGAAGCAAAGTAAGCTCCGTTAAGAAGTGATCCAGCTTGATTTGGACATCTAGCCACATGTTGTCTAGCGTGGAGTTGAGGGCTCCTTGGAATTGGCCTTGAAGCTCATCCACCGTAGCTCTTCGTAAGGACGTCCTCCTCGAGTCGCTGATCGAACTCGACCACGACATTCTCCATCTTAGAAAGCCGCTTCTCCATCATGGCTACAACATCTCTAGATCGTTCCCTCTTTGATTTGCCCCCACGATCCATATTGACCTTGGACAGATTAGTCTTCACATCGGATCCGCTCTTCGACATGCTTCTTCGAATGATTCGAGCTTTCGCTCTAATACCAACTGTCACGGGATGACTTTTTTGGAGTCTTTCTTCCGTGCGGCCTTAGACTTGATCGCCTCTCGAACAAGCTAAGTCAGCCTCCTTCCTACAACACAAGATCGAACCAAGCAAAGAACAATCGCAAAAGCAAGAACGCAAAAGAATGCTAAAGAAAGTTTGGGAGAATATCTGCTTGTATTGCTACTCAAATGCTTTACAAGTTATGAGGTGAGGATACAAAATGTGACATCCCCCTTATATACTGTTCCTATCCCACCTACCACCACAGTAGGTGGCTAAGATACAATGTCACCTACCGGCATCTACCAATTACTGTCACCAACCGTAGTCTACCAACTACTGTACAACGAATCTAGACATGTGGGCTAAGAGGTCTAGCATGATCAATCCAACGGGTTGGGCCTTGAACATGTGGGCCGTGACACAAGGCACCTAAACCACGTCAGTTGTTAGACAAGTGCCGAAGTAGAGTGTCTAATGCGATAGTCAAATAAAATACATTTTAAAAGCATAACGGTTTTAAGAAACAACACCCTGGATCCAAAAACATGCTAAACTTAAGTCACTCTTTAAGACCTAATGTTTCACGCCCACTCAATCTTCTAACTTCCCTCTCGATGAAAAGTCCTATTTCCTCTCTCCCTCTCTATCACATCTCTGAAGTCTTCGAGTTCACTCTTGTTGGTGTCGTCGACATTCATGTTTGCTGCCCTTGGCTACCATCGATTTCTCATTCCTTGGGCTTCCTTGTATTGCATATGCCATCGGAGGTCACTGATCTCCCTCAAGTTTGCGACTTTCTTCACATCTTGCAATAGCTTGGTTAATATTATTAGAGCATCTTGTAGGCGATGTGACATGCTTAGAGCATCCACAATGATGCTCTCTATTTCTTAATTAAAATTTAGCTAAAAATATAAGAAAATTATTTTAGGAGCTCTCTAAAAAATTTCAATTCCAACCATACTCCATAATTTGGAGAGTCATAAATGCTATAACTCTTTTTTGATTGGTCAATCTCTATTAAAAAATAAAATAAAAAATAGTTAGCATTAAATAAAGGTTTGAAATACTCATTAAATAAAGCATCATTAAATTATAAGGAGCCACTAGGAGTCCTTTCTCTCTCATCAGATTTAGGAGCTCCTAGAGGACTCCCTATTTTAGGAGGTGGATAGGGAGCATGGTTGGAGTTGCATTTTTATAATTCCTCCCTAAAATTTGTCTAAGGAGGTGGTTTAGGGAGCCCATTGTGGATGCTCTTAAAGATCAACTACAAAAGGATATTATAGAAGCTCTTGAAAATGATAATCTTCCAATAGGGGGAGGCTTAAATAAAGAAACTTCTCTTAAGCTTGCTGGTGACACACGTTGGAACTCACATTATGGTACATTACTTAGTATCATTTTCATGTTCAAATCTGTGGTGAAAGTGCTTAAATTGATTATTGAGGATGACTCTACCAATAATAGAGGTTAAGCAAATAGGTTATTGAGAGAAATACAATCTTTTGAGTTTGTATTTCACCTATTTTTTATGAGATCTTCATTGGAAGCCACAAATGATTTGTCACAAACATTACAAAGGAAAGACCTAGATATTGAGAATGCAATGTCGTTAGTCAAAGATTGCAAGGACACGCTATAAGATATGAGAGATAATAGATTTGAAGCCTTGCTTGATCAAGTATTTTGATATCGATTTTGTTTTGAATTTGGACATTTCATCCTTTTGGGCCCAACACCAGACTTCACTAGGTTATTGCCACGTTGTTTCTTTTTGTAGGTCTAAGGGGAAAAATTCAGGTATAAATAGAGCGAATTTACTCCCCACTCTAGCCCTGAGTTTGAATACTCCACCCAATTTTTTTCCCCACTAGAAAAAAACTCAACAAGTAACAGAAAAGTAACAGAACATGGCGGCGGCAGTTGAAGCGGGAGCAAAACCATGGATTAAAATAGCGGCTATTTGTGGGTCCCTGCTTGAAGATTCATGTACCCGCGGTCTCATTCGTTCTGGTTAGTTGCATCTGATCTGGCATCTGGTTTTGCTTTTTAATTTTTGAATGTGAGTTTTGGGTTGTGATTGGGCGGTGCCGATTGTAGCGATTGAGATAAGCAAGTCGTCAATCCCCGGCGTGGAAATAGAGCACGTGGAGATCGCAGAGCTGCCAATGCTGAACACAGATCTGGAGGGCGAGGGGAACTTTCCGCCGGTCGTTGAAGCATTTCGTCAGAAGATTCTAGCAGCTGATAGCATTCTCTTTGCCTCCCCTGAATACAAGTACTCTGTCTCAGGTATTTTTCTGAATTTCCCTTTTTATTTTACAATTATATTTTCAACTTGAGGTTGAAGTTTGATTGTTTTCCATTTTATCTGGTCACTTCACGTCTAATTCTAGAGCTTCTCAATTAATATCAAAATCCAAAATTTTCTTTCAATGTTAATTTAAGTTTTTGCTCTCATTAGTAAAGGATTAGAGATGACTGCTCTAAAAAGGCTATGTAAATGCAATTGTGCGGTCGGACTGTTCTCGCCTTTTTCACCTTAATTCGAATTTTCTTCTTATAAGAGCTCGTCCGGGAGTGATTCTCGATAGGCACAATCACTTCTGAAAAGAAGTATCTCCTATATGCTTGAAAGTGATTATTTTAAGTGATGCATAAGAGTTTTCGGTTGAGATTTGGATGGCACAGAATACAATAAATAAATAATTGGCTCACCAAATTAAACCGGTTGGTTTGCCATTGGTTTTCAGTTTTCTTCGGCACAGATGCCCACTCCTAATCACGTTTGGGATTTTTTGAAAAAAAAAAAAAAAAAGAAAAGAAATTTTGAATTTTAGAGAATTTAGAGAATTTAACCAACGAATCCACCACAATTTTACTTTCCGATTGCTGGAGGTTGTTGACCTATAATATAGTTTGTATTAAGTTTCACCACATTAGTTCGGGTTCTCCAAATCATGGTTTATTCCCCATAGCTTTAGCTAAAGCAACATCAGCATGGTTTATTCCCCATAGCTTTAGCTAAAGTTACACCATCATGGTTTTTATTTTCTTTGGCACAAACTCAATTCTTATAGTGCTGAGGACAAAAAAAAGAAAAAAAAAGGTTTCTTCGCATGCTTGTTTCCATTTTCCATGGACCAGAGAACTTGTTGACTTGTAGTTTCTGTTATTTGCTGACCAATTTCAGCCCCTCTAATGCAGCACCTCTAAAGAATGCACTTGACTGGGCATCAAGAACCCCAAATGTTTGGGGTGATAAGGCTGCTGCAATTATAAGTGCTTTCGGAGGCTCTGGTGGTGCACGATCCCAATATCATCTTCGCCAAATTGGAGTGTTTCTTGACCTCCATTTCATCAACAAGCCAGAGTTTTGCTTAAAGGCACTTGAGCCTCCTGCAAAGTTTGACAAAAATGCCAACTTGATTGATGTACAGTCCAGGGAGAATCTGAAGCAAGTTCTTCTGTCCTTGCAGGCTTTTACTTTGAGACTCCAAGGAAGATAGTTGCTCAAGTTATGTGTGATTCATTTCTCATGCTATTTCAATTGTTATCAGAGAATGCGAGGCTATTAAAGTGACAAAATAGAGAGATGTCCTCATCTTTCGAAGATAAATTAACTATGACAAAATAGAGAGATGTCCTCATCTTTTTGACATCCTATCTTTAATTTTTATTTTTCTTATTGTGTTTTCTGTTTTTAACTATGACTAAACAAAGGAAAGGATAATCCCGGATGTCCAGTATGCGTATGTTCGTTTCATGCATTACATGTTCATAACAGGGATCCTAGAAATTTGGCTTTTAAGATAATCTTCATTTGCATTTAGGAGATTGCTTGTTTAAACACTTAGAATTACAGTACATACCTTGGCTGACTGGTCGGAAAAGATAGGGTGACCGGTTGAAAATGCTTGGAGAACTTAGAATTCAACGAATTATTGGGCGACTGGTCAGTTTTAGCAGAGATCAGTTAATTTAGAAATTCGCAAAACGACTGGTCAGTACTTGTTCGGGCTGCGCAATAGAAGTCAGTCACCTTTTGGGTTGGTGCATTTTTCTTCTCATATCCCTTATTTCGGCCCTAGCTCATATTCCACCCCATTTTCTGATGAGACGGGATGATTTTCAGCTGCTCTGACCTCCCTTGTCTCGATCACCTTTAAAGATAATAATTCTCATTAAAAATGTAACAACCAAATACGATATTAAACTTACATGAAATTAATGTAAAACAACAAACACAAATTGGAAGAACTACTAACAAATTTAACGATTGAGGCTTGCAGGAAAGATTTCACCCTTACCTTTGTGCTCGCAATTTGATAACTTCGTTATGTGTGAATGGCATGAAGGTGTTGCTAGAGTGGGGATTACTAATCCTTTTGATTATAGGTTGTCATATGCATGTGTTTGATTCACACATAATTGCATTGTTATCTTTGTGGATGGTTTTAAGCTTAGAGATAAACTGTAAAATACACCTATTCACTCGATGAGACTCTCAAAATACAAGTTTTTTAATATTCTTTTATAGGCTTTTTTTGTATAAATTTGATTTAATAATGATAATTTCACTTTAAGTTACATTTTTATTCTCAAATCATTTAGAATTTTGAACTTTCTATACTTAATTTGGTGAACTTATTAATTATATGATTTTACGTTTTGTAGGAGGTCTATTTGAAGCTGGAATGCTAAAAGATTGAGATATTGATTTGTCCAAATTCAAGCCAAATGTAAAAAAAAATTGCTGGTGAATTATATTGAAGAATTAATTTTGGGATTATTATAATTAAAGAAGACAAGTAGAGAGGAAGAAATAGAAGACAAAATCGTTGATGCCAAAAGAGCCTCTTCTATGTCATTCATATCCACTACCTCACAAATTCATTTCTATTAACTCTCCATCATCAACACCTCCACTATGCCAATATTGTAAAACCGAGCCACCTAAAAGACGTATGATTTTCATCCAAGTGACGTGGTTGTAAAATATGCTACAAACCACGTCGGTTGTTAGACAAGCGCCATAGTAGAGTGTCTAATGCCATGGTCAAGTAAAATACATTTTAAGAAACAACACCCTGGATCCAAAAACACGCTAAACTTAAGTCACTCTTTTAGACCTAATGTTTCACGCCCACTCAATCTTCTAACTTCCCTCTCGACGAAAAGTCTATTTCCTCTCTCCCTCTCTATCACATCTCTGAAGTCTTCAAGTTCACTGTTGTTGGTGTCGTCGATTTCGAGTTGTGTTGCCGTCGACATTCATGTTCGCTGCCCTTGGCTACTGTCGATTTGTCGTTCCTTGGGCTTCCTTGTATTGCATATGCCATCGGAGGTCACTGATCTCCCTCAAGTTTGCGACTTTCTTCACATCTTGCAATAGCTTGGTTAATATTGTTGGAGCATCGTGTAGGCGACATGACATGCTTAGAGATCAACTACAAAAGGATATTACAGAAGCTCTTGAAAATGGTAATCTTCCAATAGGGCGAGGCTTAAATCAAGAATTTTCTCTTAAGCTTGCCGGTGATACAAGTTGGAACTCACATTATAGTGCATTACCTAGTATCATTTCCATGTTCAAATCTATGGTGAAAGTGCTTAAATTGATTATTGAGGATGGCTGTGTAAGTCTTCTAAGCTATTATAACTTGAACACTAACCTTGTTCTGCCATTGAAGTCTTCTGTCGAACACATGGGGAGCAGCTCTTCTCTAAGATAACCGATTGCCTTAGCTCTGGAATTCTAGACGGGGTGAATATCCTGATGAGTTGTGTATGTCGGCTCTTAGAGGGAGCTGCCCTATTTATATGCATCACTCAAGGAGTCTTGCCCATCAAGAGACTCCTTGAGTTTTCCTTATTGCAATAGAACAGTGACTCCTAATTCTAATAGAACTAGAAACCCCTTTAGCCTTGTAATCCATTTAGAACACTGATAGAAGGGCTGCTGGATGAGACAGATTTAAGTCCTAGATTAATCTGGAGTTCTTGCAATCCGACATAGATTAGAAGACCACTTTCGTGAGTTTAAGATAGTAAACTATCTTACATTCTCCCACTTGGTCAAATAATCATTGTGACTCAAGATTAATCACTTAATGGCCAATTTAGGACTTTAAAATTTCTCAGTTTCTTATCAAGCCACTGTCATTGGTATGAACTCATACGGAACTGTCAAAGCACATTGAATAAATAACATTCAAGTCATTTGCAACCACACATATAAGTCTATAACAACATATGAGGCTGCCAACTGAATTAGGATCAAAGAATTGTTGAGATCTGCCTTAGGATGTGTTTGATGATCAAAACAATTCTTAGCTCACCCTCACAAGACTACCAAGGTCTTAGCAAAACTATCATGGCTCCTTCATGGATACGAAAATGCAAAACATAAGTGCTAGCAAATTTTGCAGATTCTTCCTTCATCTATATGCCAAAACATTTATAAATTGGAAAAACACAATTTAAGAAAACTTTGAATAACATCAAAATGTAAACTGTAAGAACAACTTCGATTGAAACTAATTAAATGAAAACAGACTTAACTCTGGCTCCCACTGACTCCCACTGACTTAAACATCAAAACTGATATGCAAACCCATGCTTTTAACATGTCTATGAAAAACATGATTAGGCAAGCCTTTGTTCAGTGGATCTGCAATATTAAAATCTGTTCCAATATGATCTAAAGCTGTATGACCATCTCGGATTTTTTCTTTAGCTGATAAAAACTTTAACTGCAGGTGTCTTAATCCTCCTGACTTCTCATTTCCTTTTGCAAAATAAACTGCAGCACTGTTGTCATTCCATAATTGGATTGGCCTTTGTATGGAATCCACGACCTTTAACATTGACATAAAATTTTTGAGCCACATAGCCATTGAAGTTGCTTCATAAATTGCTAGAAACTCAGCCTGCATGGTTGAGGTTGATATGTATTGTTGTTTGACACTTCTCCAAGCCACTGCTCCTCCTGCAAACAAAAACACAACACCTGATGTACTCTTTTGTGTATCCAAACAGCCAGCAAAGTCCGCATCTGCATATCCTTCCAGTTTCAATTCTTCAACTCTTCGATAGCTTGTATTCTTTAGTTCTCTGCAAATACCTCAAGACCTTCTTGCCTGCTACCCAATGTGCTTGGCCTGGATTGGATTGAAACCTTCCAAGAACACTAATGCTGAAAGCAAGGTCTGGCCTTGTGCAAACTTGAGCATACATTAAGCTTCCAACAAGTGAGGCGTAGAGCTTGTCCTGCATCTCCAACTTCTCTTGCTCAGTTTTGGGAGATTGTTCATTGCTCAATTTATCACCCTTCGAGAATGGAACATCACAACCTGTGTAGTTTTCCATGTTGAACCTTTTCAGTATCCTTTCTATATATCCCTTCTGTGATAGACTAAGTAGCCCCCTTTCTCTGTCTCGGCTTATTTCAATTCCTAGCACATAATAGTTTGCCTCTCCTAAATCAGTCATCTGAAAATGGTTTGATAGCATTCTCTTAGTGTCATGTAGTAGTGACAGATTGCTGCTTGCTAAGAGAATATCATCAACATACAGCAGCATAAAAATATAATGTCTCCCTTGAAATTTTTGGTAAATGCACTCATCTAAAGGATTGTCAATGAAACCTTAAGACTTCACTACTTCATCAAACTTCAAGTACCACTGCCTAGAAGCATGTTTTAATCCGTATATTGATTTTTGTAACTTGCAAACCAAATCTTCTTCCCCTTTTTGAATGAAACCATCCAGTTGTTTCATGTAGATTTCTTCAATAAGGTTTCCATTCAAAAATGCAGTTTGAACATCCATTTGATGAAGGTGAAGATCAAAATGTGCCACTAATGCCATTATAACTCTTAGGGAATCTTTTGTTGACACATGTGAGAAAGTTTCATTGTAATCCACTCCTTCTTGTTGTGTGAACCCTTTTGCTACTAGTCGTGCCTTGTATCTGTCTATTTGTCCCTTTGAGTTTCTTTTAGTCTTGTAAACCCATTTGCATCCTATTGGTTTACATCCTTGAGGTAAATCAACAAGCTTCCATACACCATTCTTGCTCATTGACTGGAGTTCAGACTCCATTGCTTCTATCCACTTATCACAGTTGTCACTTTGAATAGCCTGCTTATAAGACAGAGGATCTTCTATGGTATTGATGTCATGTTCTGATTCTTGCAGGTAGACATAATAATTGTTTGATAGAGCAGGTCTCTTAGTTCTTTGTGACCTTCTCAGTTCTGGGTTGGAAGGCTGCTGTTCTTGTTGATCTGTCTGCATATTTTCTGGTGCAATTTGTGGAGCTTCAGTTGTTGGATCATGATTTGGTGAGACTTGCTTGTCATTCAAGTCAGTGAATGGTAAGATAGTTGTATCTCTCAGCATATTTTCCTTTTCAGCAGGTTCCTTGTTTTCCAAAATTTCATCAAAATCAAAATTTTCCTCAGTGTCTGAATCATTTTCATCTTCAATAAAAATAGCTCTTTGAGTTTCCATGAATCTTGTGGTGTGGTTGGGACAGTAGAACCTATACCCTTTTGTTCTATATGGATATCCCACAAAATAGCATGTTACTGTCTTGGAATCCAGCTTCTTTTTTGATGGATTATAGAACTTTGCTTCTACCTTACTTCCCCAGACTTTAAGATGTGAGAGACTAGGCTTTCTATTGCACCATGTTTCATAAGGAATTTTGTCTGCACTTTTGGTAGGAATTCGGTTTAGCAAATATTTGTAGTTTTTAAAGCCTCTCCCCAGAGAAATTTTGGAAGCTTTGTGCATCACATTTGGCTCCTAATCATCTCAATCAAGGTCATATTTCGTCTCTCTGCCACTCTGTTTTGTTGTGGTGTGCCTGGGTTAGTATATTGAGCCACTATACCTTCTTCTTGTAGAAATTTGGCAAAGGGTCCAGGGTTCCTTCCTCTCTCATCAAATTTACCATAAAATTCTCCTCCTCTATCTGACCTTACTACTTTGATTCTTGAATCCAACTGGTTTTCCACTTCTACTTTATAAACTTTGAACATGTCCAGTGCATTGGATTTTTCAGATATTAAGTATACATAACCATATCTAGAGTAATCATCTATGAAGGTTATGAATTACTTAAAACCATCATGTGTTTGAGTGGGAAAAGGACCACAAATATCTGTATGTATGATTTCCAGCACCTTTTCACTTCTTGTAGCACCTTTCTTTCTCAAATTTGCCAATTTCCCTTTAACACATTCTATGCAAACACTGTCTTTGTCATGGTGGTTAAGTGGTGGCAACAAATTTTCTTTGTTAAGCAAATTCATTCTTTTAGCCGAGACATGTCCTAGTCTATTGTGCCAAAGTTTATAAGATTCTTCCTTTTCTGCTTTTCTTTTAGTGCTTATCACATTGATGCTTAGATTTCCAGTGTTGGGATTTGGTTTCTTGCAATTTAATCGAAACATTCCATCATTTAGAAAACCATTACCAATCATAACTTTATTTCTGAAAATGGAGAATCCAAAAACATCAAACTCAAACTGTAAGTTTGACTTTACAAGCTTGCTAACTGAAATAAGATTCTTTTTCATGGAAGGAATATAAACTACATCTACTAATTCCAAAACAAAACCAGATTCTAACTCAATCCTAGCTAATCCAATTCCTTGACTCTTTCTCCATTTCCCACGAACACCTTCATCTCAGCCTTGCTTGGCAGCCTCTTTGTTTTGAACCCCTGCAAACAATTAGCCACATGAACTGTTGCACCACTATCCAACCACCATGAATATGAAGAAATCTCAATTGCATTAGACTCAAAACAAACATTTATTTGATCAGACTTACCTTTAGCCTTCTGTTTATCTAGCCAGCGTTTGTATCTGTCACAATTCCTCTTCATATGTCCAAACTTCTTGCAGAAATAGCATTTGAGTCCTTCTAGTTTCAGACCTTTAGTTTCCTTTTCTCCTTTGTTTTTCTTCCCAAAATCTTTTCCTTTTCCAAAATCCCTTTTGAAACTGTTCTGAACCATATTAATCTTTTCTTCAGCCTTATCCTTCTTCATATTCTGTTCTTCCTGCACACAGATGCTTATAAGGTCAGTCGCTGTCCACTTCTCCTTTTGAGCCATATACGTGCTTCTAAGATGCTTGAAAGTACTAGGCAGAGAATTTATAGCAAAGTGTACCATCATAGTTTTATCCACATTGACTTTGAGTGCCTTCAGTTTGTTCCCAATTTCCAGCATGTTCAGTATGTGTGTTCTCACACATCTCTCCCCATTGTATTTTGTATCAGTAAGCTGTCCCATTAGAGTTCCAATCTCAGCCTTTTCTGATTCCCGAAACTTTTCCCCAATGGAATCAATAAACTTCTTGGCATTGTCATATGATGTAATGCTTCCCCTGACAGATGGTGAAATTGACCTCCTCATGATCAAAATAGCCATTTTGTTTGCCTTAATCCACTTGGCATATTTTGCTTTTGTTCCAGCAGATGCATCTGCATCAGGTTCTGCAGGAGCATCTTCTTCAATAGCTATCTCATAGTCCAACAATCCTAGAGCAATTTCCACATCTTCCCTCCATTTGGAGTAGTTGGAGCCAATGAGAGTTTCAATCGAGTTGTGATTAACTGAAAAACACATAGTATGAATATATTTAAAAACTGAAAAACCCCATATCCTTAAAACATGATCGATTCTCACCTTTAGGTGAAGAAATCAAAACATGTTTATCAACACTAAGACATGAAAATCACATAAGTTTCCTGTACAAGAAAAGTTCCACATCTTTGGATAGAAGAACAACCTTGATAGCCTACGTATTTCATCTCTTATGCTGTTTTACTGAAAATAATTGCACGATAAATCATTCACATCTTTGGACAGTGAATCATTCATTATGCCTTTATTTCCAACACAAATTTGATCATAAAACCTTGAATGTACAGATCTTGCTGTGTCTGAGTTGCTTTGGCTTGCTCAGAGCACGGCAGGAACCACACAAACTTTGATCAATTTCTGTTTGTCACAGCAAGGTGTTAACTCTTGCTGTGTCAAGTTTCTTTAACCTTGAAAACTTAATTATCCTTCAGTTTTCAAGTTCTAAATGCTGCAACAAAATTGGTTAGGTAGAAGATAGAATAACTTAAGCTCTGATACCACATGTAAGTCTTCTAAGCTATTATAACTTGAACACTAACCTTGTTCTGCCATTGAAGTCTTCTGTCGAACACCTGGGAAGCAGCTCTTCTCTAAGATAACCGATTGCCTTAGCTTTGGAATTCTAGACGGGGTGAATATCCTGATGAGTTGTGTATGTCGGCTCTTAGAGGGAGATGCCCTATTTATATGCATCACTCAAGGAGTCTCTTGCCGAGTCTTGCCCATCAAGAGACTCCTTGAGTTTTCCTTATTGCAATAGAACAGTGACTCCTAATTCTAATAGAACTAGAAACCCCTTTAGCCTTGTAATCCATTTAGAACACTGATAGAAGGGTTGCTGGATAAGACAAATTTAAGTCCTAGATTAATCTGGAGTTCTTGCAATCCGACATAGATTAGAAGACCACTTTCGTGAGTTTAAGATAGTAAACTATCTTACAGGCTGCACTGATAATATAGGTGAAACAAATAGGTCATTGAGAGAAATACAATCTTTTAAGTTTGCATTTCACCTATTTTTTATGAGATCTTTATTAGGAGCCACAAATGATTTGTCACAAGCATTACAAAGTAAAGACCAAGATATTGGGAATGCAATGTCTTTAGTCAAATATTGCAAGGACACATTACAAGATATGAGAGATAATGGATTTGAAGCCTTGCTAGATCAAGTATTTTCCTTTTGTGGCAAACATGATATTGAGGTTCCAAACATGGATGATGAATATGTAGCTTAGTGGAGATCACATCGCAGAGCTCTTAGAATAACACAAATCCATCATTATCATCTGGACATCTTTATTCAAATCAGTGAGTGGCAACTTGCGGAATTAAATCATCGCTTTAGTGAGGTAAATACTGAGTTGCTTCTTTGTTTGGCATGTTTGAGTCCAAATGATTCATTCATAGCTTTTGACAAACAAAAGCTTCTTCGTTTTGCTGAATTTTATCCTTGAGAATTTACTCCCTGAGATCTCTTGGCACTTGAAGATCAACTTGGGATTTATATTCATCATATGCGTACAAGAAGCAATTTTTCTCAATTGAAAGGGATTGGTGTCCTTGCAAGAAAAATGGTGGAGAAAGGGTTGCATAGAACATTTAATTATGTCTATTTGCTTCTGACATTAGCCTTAACTTTTCCAGTTGCAACTACTTCGGTGGAGAGAGCATTTTCTGCTATGAATGTTGTCAAAGGTCCACTTCGCAACCGAATGGGAGATCAATGGTTGAGTGATAGCTTACTTGTTTATATTGAGAAAGATGTGTTTGTTTGTATTGATAATGAAACTATAATGGGACGTTTTCAGAATATTAAAACTCGTCGTGAACAATTGTAATATGGTTTTTTCTATTAATTGTGAATTATAAATTATCGTTTCAGTTTTATGGGTTTATTTTTGTATAGAAAGTTTTTACCCTTTTAGACATTGATCCCTGCAAGGAAAATTCCTGGATCCATCCCTGTATCAATATACATATGTTGTGTAAACTTGTTTGGATAATATGAAATATTGGGCTGCTGTGTTCAGTTTTCATTCAAGACAATTACATAAGCATGAGGAATTAAATATAGTCAATAGAATAATATGATAATCAGCCCCACAAATCTTATTTTACAAGGACATATTATTAAATTAAAATACACATTCAAAGTGCATCCTTCTAAAATTTTAAAAGTAATATATGGATGGGGACTGATGGGATTAATTATTGAATATTTCTTCTTCTTTTTTATTTTACTTTTGAACAGTGGCTTATTATTGAATAAATTCTTTATCTTTTGAAAATGTATTTGGAAGATGGATAAGTCATGGATGTATGTTGATAGAAGATCGCAAGCATATGAGTTAGGGGTTGAAGGATTTTTAAGGTTTGCCCTTGAAAATGTTGAAAATCGTGAACAGTTTCATTGTCCTTGTGCTAAATGTGGGAATATTTTGCAATTTGGAGTTGGAATTATAAGGGACCACCTATATTTTAATGGAGTAAATTAAAGTTATCATACTTGGGTAATGCACGAGGAAAGTACCAAACAATTACAAATGCTAGTAGAGACGTGGAAGCTAGTCCTGAAGGAAGATATAGTTTTGTTTTTGAAGAAATAGGTATGAAGGAAAATGATTTGGAAGACATTGGATCTGATCCTTATGAGTTTTCCAATGTAATTGGGGATGGCGATCAACCATTAGACCCAGGTTGTAGTAAGTATACCAAGTTATCGGCTTTAATCAAAGTATACAATTTGAAAGCAAAATATGGTACGAGTGATGCATGTTTTATAGAGTTGTTAATACTCGAAGGAGATTTGCTTCTAGAAGGAAACAAAATACCTTCCTCTATGTATGAGGCAAAAAACACTTTGTGTGCTTTAGGATTGATTATGAGAAAGTTCATGCTTGCCTTAATAATTGCATCTTGTACAGAAAGGATACTTCTAGTAATTGTCCTACTTGTGGTATCTCAAGGTGGAAGATGGGCAAAGATGATATAGTGAAAGCTGACATGCATGCATAGGTCTTGTGGTATTTTCCCCCCCTATCCCAAAGTTTAAAAGGATGTTCTTCTCTTGTAGGACAACGAAGAATTTGACTTGGCATGCTGAAAAAAGAGTCAATTAATGGCCATATGTGTCACTCAACAGATTCCCCATCTTGAAAACTCATTGATGATAAGTGGGTCGAATTCGGTAAAGAGCCAAGAAACTTGAGATTAGCCCTCTTAGCTAATGGCTTCAATCCTCATAGCGTTCTAAGCAGTAGATACAGTTGTTGGCTTGTTATTCTAGTTACTTATAATCTTCCCTCATGGTTGTGCATGAAACAAAAGTTCATGATGTTAACCTTATTGATTTCGGGCTCTAAACAACCCGACAATGATATAGACGTCTACTTAGATCCTTTGATTCATGTAAAGTAGTTATGGAATGGAATTCGTACCTATGATGCACATAAAGGAGAATACTTTACACTAAAAGTTGTATTATTGTGGACAATGAATGATTTTCCAGCATATGGAAATTTATCCGGTTGTGTTGTTAAAGGATATAAAGCTTGTCTAATATGCGGCGATGAGACACTAACTTATAGGCTGAAAGATGGGCGTAAAAATTGTTACATTGGGCATACAAAATGGCTACCAAGGCATCATCCAAACCGAAAGCAACACACATATCTATCCTGGAGAACTTTTCACGGACTAGACCTCTCCCGACGATTGTTCGTCGGCAAAGGTGAGTTTTGTCTGGAGAGGTCGAATCCGGCAAATATTGCCGGCATGCCAACAACATTTCATTGGGAGAGATTTTCTTACTTTCAAAAAATATATATTATTTATAAATTTTAAACATCTCAAATTAGTTTCTTTACTTTTATTTTTTGCCAACATCTTTAATTTAATATATATGTAGTTAAGTAATATCTTAGTCTTTTTAAATTACTTTAAGTAGTAATTATGTTTTAGTTATTATTTAATTAGTGAATATTTAAATATTTTATTCATTTCATAAATTACTTAATAAATAGTAATTAATTATTTTAAATTATTTTGTGGACTATGTTTTTATTTTATTTTTGTACAAAGTTAGTTCGGGTAAATCAAAGCAAATGCCAACAAGTAATTGATATTATCGAATCATGTTGTGACTTGAATTTAAGTTTCATGCCTAAAATCCATTTTTGGAAAACTAAAATACTTGGGTACCAAAACAAAATTTCCAGGATTTTTATTGAAATATATATGTTGAGGCCCAAAAAATCCATGGTTGGGCTCGAATAAATTCCCGGCCCAAAACGACACAGTACTGAGGAAACACAAAAGTCCGCTATGCACGAGTCACACTCCACGTGCCATACCAAATAAATAATCCGTCATGCTAGGAATCGAGATTAAGATTATAAAATGCATTAGCTCTGCAAATCCATGCTAATTATCCTGTCAAGCATCATAATTAAAAGCATGCCAAGCGACATGTCATGCCAAACAGGAAATCATTATTGCACACCCAACCACGCTACAAGCCTAAGTGGGTCCAAGCCACTCGAATGTCGGGGCTGACTTGAGTGGGTTGTGGTATGGATGGTAATAAGTTGTCATGAGGCCCATTGATGGGTCTAGAAATGGAGGTTCTGGGTTGCTTGGGAGCCTCGAAACTTAAGCCCATTTCTTAGGCCCAAACATGTGGGTAAGTATAAAAGAGAAAATAGTCTATTACCTTAGCTAAAATAGCCCATTAACTTAACCAAATTAGCCCAAAACCTCAACAAAATAGGCCAACACTTGGTGAGGTTAGCCCATTTATTTGATAAACCAACCCATTATCTTAGAAGGCCCATGTAACTAAAATGAAGACCTGCAAAAGCCTCAGCACTTGGCTGAAAAACAAAAGCCACAAAGGGAGCTTGGAGGTCCATGTGCGCAGAGCTGCTGGGAGGTTCCAGCACATGGGAAAGAACAAGTTTAAAGCAAAAAACATCCGAAGGATCAAAGGATTTTAGCATGCAGGCTGCCAAGAGGAGAGGCACCCTTCGAACCAGCATGTATATCCATTATCTTTCCTTCATCAGATCTAGCCATGGAAGGAGGAAAGAAAGAAAAATGGAAATAGCTGAGAATGAGAGTCTCCCACTGAGACAATTGCGGGAAAGGGCCTTGAGCACCCAAAAATCCCTGATTTTGTGCAAATGGGCAGAGAGAATTTCACCAAGATGAGGAAAGTCAAGGGAGGAGAGAAGAAAGAAAGAGAAAAGCTTGACCAAATTGGATAGAAACCATTAGGGTTTCTTGGAAAAGAATAGCTTCCAACGGCTATAAATAAGGTCTCTTATACCCAATAAAGGAATAACCACATCCAGATACCAAGCTTCCTCTCTTACCTCCAAAACCCAGCAATTTCGTGCTCAGTTCATCCATCTAACCCTTGTTTTTCCTCTTGGCAGATCGTTTTGATACTTGACAGAACCTCTGTCGAGCTGCCGAAAAACACTTAAGCCACTCATTGCCTAGCCTCTCTCCTCTTCTCAGCCAAAACCTCTAATAATCCTTTTCTCATT